CCTCTTCTTTTCACCTATATATCACATTTAGCAACCATACTTACACCACGACTCTATTTAATCAATATAACAATTCTAGCGATTCGTCTTTTTCTTTTACTATATCTCATTCACCGATCAATTAGCGTTTCATTTTCTTACCCTGTTTCATATATATCGCTCTTTTTTTTCTTTTTCTTTTATCTTCTCTCTTCGTTTACAACACTCTCAGAAACAAAATGAGAAAAGAAAAAGAAAGAAACATGTACGTCACGTCATACATTTTTACATAAACTACATACATACATACTGTTTTTTATACGAGAGAAACGTTCCCACCCTCACCTTTTTACATTTTGTGTCTTTTCCCCAGTGTTGAACTGCAGAAAGCTAACCTAGAGGCCCAAAATACCCAAACCCCTGGCAGCGGTACCACTCCCGGGGCATCCGGGGCCAGTGCTTCTCCCTCTACCACCACTACCACTGCCTCTCCCTTGGCCAGCGCCATTCCCTTGGCTCAGCTGCTAAGCAAGCCAGGCGCCCTCAACGCCCTCTCTAGCCTCACCGCCCTCGGCGGACTCACGGAATTGCTAGGTGGCGCTGCTGGCGCGGCTGCATCCGCGCTACCTGTCCAGACAACCGGCGTGCACCGGTCGCACAAGTTCACGCCGAGGCTACGTAGCCCAGGCGCACCCGGGCCCACTGACAGCGGAAAATTCAAATCCGAGCGCACCAAGTACAACCCGTACTGAGCAAGTGATGGACAACAGGTGGAGAGACGCGAGATCAGGGAGATCATTACACGTACACGCATTACTCATCACGACTACCACCACAATTATTACCAATACCACTATAATCACAACCACCAAGATCATGATATGTACACGGAACACGAGATTTACATCGGAGAAAAGTGCGTACGGACGCCAGGGTAGCGCGAGTCCGGATATTCAAGACTTGGCTAAGGATCGGACCAACATATGCTAGTTTCTCACAGGAGTGCACACAGCGCCGCCATGCTGATGTAACGATGCGTACATTTATTCGTAGGGGTAAGACGCGCGACGATCGATTCGATCGCGGATCGAGCAATTCCTTTTTTTTCTTTTTTTTTTCTTTTTTTTAAATATTTCTCACGATCATTCATTGTTTGATCCGTCGTTTTTTTTTTTCTGACTCTTTCTAATTATTTTTCGAAGAGAAATTTGGAAATGACACGAGGCGAGATCCGATGCTAAGTCTTCGGACCTTCACACTAAGTGCGACACGCCCTCCGAGTTTGATGAATCTTTTATCTTCTCTTATCGCGTACCTTATTGCTTAAGGAACTGATTTTAATTTTTTTTTTTTTCTTTTTTGTTTCTTATATTTTTGCTGTTTTCATAAATATAATATATTTAGTTTTCGAGAACTGTAATATCGTACGATATGGACAATTGAGAATAATGATGTTAGTATCCCGTGTATCTGCCAGATGGCGACTCGGAGGACGCGACCGCTTGTGCACCGTCGCAAGACAGCCTTTTTTAATGTATATGTATACATATATATATATATATATATATATATATAATATATATTACGATGAATTATTAATTGATTAATGTTTGAGTAAAAAAAAAAAAAAAAGGACTCTTCTTATTAGATTTAGGTAATTCCGATGTAATTTTTTCTTGTAGTTGTATAGTCGACCACTTTTGAATTGAGAGAAAGGGAGAGAGAGCGAGATAGTATGAATGTGCGAGCAGACGATTTTTAGCAATGAAATGAAAGAAAATGATTTAAAAAAAAAAAAATTTAGAAAGGTGTGTACGAGATTAATTATATATAATTATGATTTTCTTTTTTTTTTTTTTTTCCGTTATTATATCTTTATCTTACACAAGGAATGAACGTAAAAATGCAGAGAGAGAGAGAGAGAGAGAGCGTGTGTGTGTTTGTGTGAGAATGACGATTGGAATGAAAGAAGATAAAATGATTAAGCGAAACGAGATAGAATGTTCAGATATACATCGTGTCCCGTAATCATGTAACCGTGCTTTAAAATCAACGCCGGACATTTTCTCCGGAAATAGAATATGGTCTATCGCGACCGAATGAAAAAGAATGGTAAAAGAGAAAAGGAAGAAAGAAGAGAATAATCACAGAGAGCTTATCTGTACCTCTGCTTGTATGAGGTATTGCGCGCTTCATCGAATGTTGTCGGTGAGCATTAAACATTGTATTCGCTAGATGAGAGAGAAAGAAAAAAAAAAAAATAAGAACTCATACAAAGTAATCAATCGATTTACGATAGTGGTCGTTTTATTGTAACAATAATGATGGTAATTATATACAAAATAAAGCAGAACCGTAATCATATTTCACGAGATCACGCTCGATTTATATATGTATAGATATAAATACGTATATATTATATATTTACATGTATATATAATATATATGCATATATATACATATTAATATGGAAATAGAGAAGAAAGTAAAAGATTCCCCATGCGAGTTCAGAAATTAATTAGCATTAACTAACATTTTAGATACGTATACGTCTACATTTACTTATTTACACTTACACACTATATACACACGTATACAGGTACATACAAGGATGAAGATAAAAAAAAAAAAATAAAAATAAGAGATCGTGTTTTATCGAAGAAATATCGAGTTGTTCGCTGTAAAAATCGATCGTCTTTTCTTCTCGATCAGAATTCTCTCAGCAGGTTAGAGTAAAAGAAAAAAATTGACGTACGAAGAAGGATGAATGTTACGTGTTCGGGAATGGGGAATATATAAATCGATCGAATCGATTGTAATGGCTGAAAGCGGAGAATCGAGGAGGAAAAAGAAGAAAAGACACGGCGAACGTAGATCGATTTTTAATGACGATCGAGTGCATAGGAGCTCCCAGATCAATGTTGTGTGCTCAATTTCTAGTTTGTAGCGAGAGAAAGAGGAAGAGAGAGAGAGAGAGAGAGAGGATATACCGAATGCATAGATCGAACAGGTGTAGATTTATGATTGTCGAGTGATAAATCGCTCATATATCAATTTTTATCGCGATTTTTGTGATCACGAATCATCCAAATTTATGATTTATTTTTTACGATTTTTTTTTCTTTCCTTGAAATTTTAAAAATTTTTACCAAGTAAAATTTCCTTGCTTGTTTAAACAAATTTAAAAAGAAAAAACAAGTTAATAATAGCGTATTCTTTTAATTGATTTTTTTTTTTTTCATTTCGATATATTCGTTTATTTGATTAAAATTTTCAAAAATTAATTAATGATTGATTTTTCAATATATAATATTTAATCGGATGACTCGTGAACACAATTGCGCGATCTAGTAGAATAAATAGTACTTCATATTGCGTTTTACATTTTATACACCCATATGTAGCTCGCCTCATATATTTGGTTCTCTCTTGGAGACAATAATGATTTTCTCACGTTGGCGGCGATTTTTGTGAAAAATCTATCAAACAAAGATTCCATAAGCGAAAAAAAAAAAAACAAGAGAAAGAGAGAGAGAGAGAGAGCGTGTGAGAAGAAGAATGAAAGGGATACAATGTGAACGAGAGAAAACGATGAGATTAAAGCGATCTTTTTCTTTTTCTTTCTCATCGTCAAGGCGAGAAGGGAGGTTGATGAGATAAATATCAAGATACAAAGAGTATACACACACAGAATTTTGTAGGTAATGTTAGTCTTCAACTGTATATTGGTCTCTTATAAACGATGTCGCAAAGCTTGTGTGCTTAACAAGACATTAGCTACTATCCTGTATCTCACCTTGTTAAATAAAGCTAGGCGTGTTTAATACAAAAAAAAAAATTACCATTGTCAAAAATAAGTATACTTTGATGAAAATTGATTATATATGAGAAACAGTATCGGTTATTTTAGTTTTCCTTTGAACGAGGCCTCGCAATGCACTATAACTTTATTTTGTTGAGATTAAACTTCGTTTCATTGCATCATTTTGTTTTTTCTAATAATATCCAATGGATAGAAATGAAATAGAACGAAAATAGTCAAAATCAATCAACTAGTATATTTCATTATTATTCATTGAATATTATCAGAAAATACAAAAAAAAAAAAATGATGTTCCAAAACAAAGTTTAACTTGTTTTAATGATAATTATTAAGATCTATACTATTGAAATAACAATAATTATATTATTAAAAAGATTAAATTGTTTTATATGACACTGAAAGACGGAACATAAATCAAGTATAACCAGGTTTTAACTGGAAATACGCACTGTTTTGTCGAGTTCTGCTGTTATTTATACGTTTTTATTGATCCAGCTTCCCTGAAAGTAACTAATTCTGTAGTGCCTTGCGCGACCACGTTTTTGATGTGCTGCATTTTTATTGTTGCTACCTCCTTTTAGAATTTCGTGGAACGGACGTCTCGAATCCACGCCAAGTCGAACGATATGAAAAGAGACTCTTTGTATTAATGAAGAAAAATTTCTTTTTAAGAGATGAAATGGAAATTAATTTTATAAATAGATTCGTATCTGCTTTCATGAAAATTTTCTAATGATTAGATTGTTTTTCTCATAATATTATTGTAATGTATTTAAATTTTTATTATACAAGCTAGATATATCTTGTTATAATTGAATGATTATACTGTTGCAGTTTTTGAAAGAATCTAAATGTTTTTAATTCTTTGATATTTGAATATTTATGATTCTTATTGCAAAAGTTATAATTGTTTAATTTTGAATATTTTGTATTATTAACAAAGAATATTGTGTTCCTTGCAAAATTAAAAAAAAAAAAAAGAGACGTTGAAAAATATATGAATTTATTAGCAACAAAACAATAATAATATATTTTATAAGAGACTGAATTAAGTGTAATAAAAAGCAACGATAAGGATACAAGTTATATATTTTGGATAATGAAATGTAAAATAATTGAACTTGAAAATCAATATTGAGAAATTAAAATTGATCATTGATAGTAATTTTCTATTTCATTAAAATAAAATAAAGAAATGAACAAAAATATTTTTTAATAATTAATTGATTTCATCAAAAAGTATTAATTATTTACAAAATATTTATATTAAATTGTGTACGAAAAAAATATATCAAAGTCGCATAATATAATTATTAAATTGATCTCCTTTTATCGATCAATTCTATTTTTAAAAAAACTGCAACATCCTTTCATCGTCAAAATCGACCTTAAAAATTCAAACGAAATTTTTCAATCATTATCCTATTAACAACAGAGTCTCAAATTCCCTTTCTCGTTTTATTAATTTAAGTGGGATCAATTATGGAGTGTAGCAATATAATATAACATATACACAAATTATCACAGTAAGCGATGAATCTTTTTTCCTTTCTTTATATTTTTTTTATTGCAATCGGAAAATAAAAAAAGAACGAGTCAATAAAAAAAAAGATAAAAAAAAAAAAGACGTACCTATCGCTATTTCGTGTTCATGCAAATTTTATTCTCATCCAAAGTTGCAATTGATATTGATTGCAACTATTTCCGCATGTAGCATACAGAATTGAAAATTTTCTATGTATAGCAAACACGATACAAAAAGTGTACATATATACACATACATAATATTATGTATACATACGTGCATATATGTTTTACGAAAAAAAAAAGTACGTACCAAGAGTGGAGAGACTCGTTCAGAAAGAGATGTAGAAAAAGAGGGGAGAGAGAGAGAGAAGATGTATACATCCAAACAACTTGACCCAGGCTCCTGCCCGTCTTTGGTAAGCACCATCCGCTCCTTTGTAGTCCTGTTAATCGACACACACTCTTCTTCCCAATTTTTACAAACTGTATTTTTCGGCAACTAGCGATCTTATTACTATTACACGATTTCTTTCTTTCTTAATTATTTCTTTCTCTTTATTTTCGTTAATTTTTTGTTTTTCAATATTCCGGTTGTTTAACTCTTAAAAGTTATCGTTAAAATAAATTATATAAAAATAAAAATAAGATTTTTATGGAGTGAATTTTCTCCCATAATAGCGTTTAAGAGTTAATATTTCTATCTTTATTTTTATTATATTTATTATATTTAGTTTCATATATTTTTTATTTTTTCTTTCTTTTTTTTTTTTTTTTTGTTTTTTAATTTAATTTTTTGATCATATAATCATATAATGATCGCGACCAATCAAGTTGCCAGTTAAAACCGATATTATCGACCAGAAATATCCAAACCCTTTCAGGAATCATTCCACGTGAATGATTGCTGCCGACTCAATGCACCCTTTCGTTGCATGATTTCGTTCGAACATTTTTTAAGAACTGCTCGTTGAGATCGAAATCGTGTCAGTAATATTGTTATGGAATATGATTTTTTTTATTTTTTATATTTTTTTTTTTAGATTTCGAATAGTTCCCCAAAAAATGTTCGATCAGATTATGCAGATAAAGAGGGTAACTTATACCTCGATAACCGAGGATGTTTTTCTGTAGATCCATCGCATGTTACCTGGAGAACGATGGGATCGGTTAAGTGCATTCGTTGCTCATTTTGGAAAAATAAAATTTTTTTCATCGTATGATAAAATATCGAAATCCTTTGAATTTTTGATTTTAATATTTTAAATTTTTGGAAATTTTTATGGGAATTATTGACTAAAGAAAATTAAAACTTTCTAAATATTTATTATTTTTTTAATTAAATTTTTGGTATGCAATTTTTTTATTCAAATATTTATAATTATTAAAAATTCTCAAATTTATTATAATTAAATATATTTTTTTATCACGAAATATGTTAAATTCTTATATGATCTCCAATTCTATTTTCTATATAAAATATAAAATCAAAATCAACAGAAAATTTGAAAAAATGTAACATTTTTCATTATTTCTATATTTCTTTATATAGAAGATTGAAAACTATAATAATATAAATTAATTAATTGCTTTGTATTTATATAAAAATAATAATAACAGATTTTTTCAAATAAAATGAAACACAAAAAAAATATATAAATATTTTCAAGAAAATGCAACAAAAATTCTTTTTTTCCCATTTTTCAAAATTTTTCTAATTAAATATTTATTATTATTTCTTATTATTTATCAAATAATTATATATTATGTTCTTTACTATTTTCTCGTAAACTATACTATTTATATTCATATAAATATTAATTGTACGAAATATCAATTGTAGAAAAATTTCCAATAAAGCAAGAAAAAATAAAATTCACTAGAAAATTTCTCAATGTATGTGTTAAAAAAAATTTTTTTAATTAATAATAATAAAAAAACAAAATGAGCAGACGATGATATTTAACCGTCCTCATGCCCGGCTCGCAAGCTCGAGCAGAACCGGCGCACCGCGGCGAGCCCACAGTTCACATCCGGTCTGACAGACACGGCCAATTCTGTTTCAGGATATCACAGGAAACGACGGGACTCTCGATACCCGCGTACCACTTCATCCCACCGGACCACATCGTTAAGTCGCCGATCCACTAAAAGTGGTGAGACACATACGTATGTCGTTGTCGTCGTCGAAAGGACGCGGGGCGTCACGACGCACGCGAAGCTGTCAATGGCATCTGGGGCTGGGCCACGCACTGTGTTCAACCAGCTTGCTAATCGACACATATTTTTCAACACATACATACATACACACATATATACTCAAGTTTAATACATATGTACACAATATATAACCACATATACATGATAATTATACATCTGATCAAGAAGAAACATTAATATACTTACACATACACATACACAAGCATACATGATAAGAAACAAAAGGTGAACAACAGAAATGGAACACATCAACGATAGGAAAGAAGAACTACACACATACATGCATACACATAATATACAAATATACACGTACATATGCAAATATACAAGTATATACATATACATGTTATAAAAATGGTTAAATCAGAGGGAAGTACGCGTGGATACACGTTACGAGTTTAAATACATATTGTACGCATACACACGTATACACACAGAGGTATAGACATACATACAAACATATACATATATATATATATATATGTGAGAATATTGTGCGCGCGCTTTCGACAAGAGAATCACAGAGGTGTACATAAGTAGCGAGAATGCAGGGAGAAAAGGGATTAAATTGAGCACGCGCTTAATAATAATAATTATAAAAAGAAAAAAAAATTAAGAAAAAAAATACATGCAAGTAGAGACGAAGAAGACACGCACGCGCGTACACGAATATATTATATATATATATATATATATACTCAAGTGTACAAAAAATGTACAAAAGATATTAAACAACAACAAAAAAAAAAAGAAGAAATAAATAATAACGATGCACGCCGCAGCCCGTTATACATACACGGTGGCTGCTGCCGATTGGTAAAGGGAACAAGCCAAAGATATGTTAGTTTTCATTTTTATATTAAAAAACGAGAGAAAAAAAAACAAAATGAGAATACGAGAGAGGCGGAAGAAAAATACTATAATGGCCGAAAATTTTCGATCATCTCATATTTCAATGATCGAATCTTTGTTTTCATGGATTAATTTTTCCATAATGCCATTTCTGCAAAAGCATATACGAAATTATATAGCGCCATATTTATCATATAAGTATCCTAATTTTTCTTTAAAAATATATTAATATTACATTTAATTATTTAATTAATTACATTTAATCTAACATTATCCTGTTAAATTTTTAGTCTTTAACAATTATTTTCAAGAATTCAATTTTCATTTAAATTCTTAAATAAAGTAAGTAAAGTAAGTAATTTTTAAATTATTATTTGTAATTTAATATATGAATTTATTATTTATTAAAAATAATCTAATACTACGATATTAATGGAATTTTTTATAAAAAAAAAAAAGTTGATAATGCTTTGGAAATATAAAATATGGCTTTATACAATTCATGGTATCAACATGGAAACAGAAATTCAATTATAGAAAAAGTGATCTTATATTTTCGGCCAGCATAGTACGAAAAAATTATTATTATAATTATTATTAATCATGAATGTGTGAAAAAAAGACGCTGAATAACTATATAATATTACTAGGTCGGTTGTTAGCATTTTTTCTATTGCTGGCTATTTTAAGGAATGGAGACTGATGGGATTCTTTTCACCCATTTAGCTAATTTAAAACATAAAACCACCCCAATGGGATGATGACCCCTCTTTGGACATTGAAATCTCCAGTATGAAAATATCCAGCAGAACTTAGATTTCCAATTTAATAGAAGTTTCTCTATTATTGGTATTTTTATTTTTTTTGGATAAAGAAATCTTTTAATAAATTCTTTTAGAATCATTAATAAATATCATTAAAGGCATATTGATTTCATATAAGCATTCAGAGTATCAGTGAAGAATAGAAAATAATTGTTACTCGATTATATTTCTCACTACAGATATGAAATGAAAAAAAGAACTTTCAGATTCTATCTTTAGAAGAAATCAGATTTCTTATTAACTTTTTGCTCTAGAATATAGATAATCCATCTTTTGTTTGAAAAGAAAAATCCTCCATGATTGGAGAATTTTTTATTTTCTAACAAAGATATGCTCGCGAAAAGAATGTACTTCAATAAGCTACATCATAAGAAAAAGAAATTATCACTTGGGATTTTTGAAGCTCCAGTTCATCATCAAATACAGCCCAAGTGTTATTTTCTATAATTCTGTTGGTTTTCTGCGTCGATCGAGACGAAGTAGAGGGGTCTTTAACTTGATAATTGATTAATTTTTGAGACAATAGTCTTCTTGTCCCTTTTCAATGAATTGACCATCTTTTAGGAGATTCAATATAAGTTCTTTATCTGTTTGAAGCCATGACGGAGACTCGACAGAGATTAAGAGGAGATCTAGAATAAAATCAATATGCTGTTTTAATGTGTTCAGATTATCAGAGATCTTATCAAGTAGAGTCCTGATCAATTTAAAAACAAGATTCTTAAAATTATTAAAATTTTGTGCCATTTTTTAAAAATCTTATTCCATTATTATCATCCATAATGATAATTAATTTAATTTTTTTTTGGAAAGCCTCGGTGAAAGTGGAAATTCTTTAAATTTAACATTTAATTAAATTTGTTTTGAATATTGTTATTTTGTAATAGAAATTATATTTGTGTGTCTATTGTTATATTTATTAATTTATCTATAGACAAATTTATGTGCATAAATGTTATGTGCAACAATGAACAAAAAATATTTTATTTGTTTTCATTGTAAAGAATAAGATTTATTCTTCTTATTATTAAATTTATTTGTTCTTATTTAGAAAAAGAGAAATAATAAAAATAATAAATAAAAAGTAAAACTCTATAATTAACTAATAAAAATATTAAGGGTTTTAATAAAAATTAGTTAGATGATTATATTAGGAAAGAAAATATAAACTTTAAAATATATATTTTAATTATATATAATTTTTATAATTTAAAGGAAGTGAAGAATTAGCAGAGAATTATAGAAAATTAATTTAACATAATTAATTGTAAAATATATAATTGATATTAAATTTTAAATATTATAATTATTACCTTTTGTCTTTAGTACAAAGCAACTTTTTATTCATTTTTGTTGCATAATAATCGATAAATTGATGCATTCAATGCATAATTTAGCTCTCTAGTATGGCTGAAGTATTTCACCAAACATAATGCATCATAAAATCTTTACGATGCTCGGTAATTCATTCGAAGAAGTAGACTAAGCAGCCATTAGTTATGCGCGCGCCATTCAATTCGTCTTGCACATTTCATTCAAATAAATCCTTTATTTATTATATTTTCTGCAGTATCATAATCATAAATTATTTATTTATTTCAGGTTCGAATATTTTCATTAAATTTTATTTAATGATAATAACTTTAAATAATTTCTTCCAATATTCAATTTGTTATATAATCTATATAAAAGAGAAAATATAAGTATAAATTTAATTATATATATTATATCAATCATATTTAGTCAATAAAGTTTTAATTTAATACATTAGAACATCCCAACATTTTTATTAATTTTTACTTTCTTGACATTGTTCATATTTTATGAAGTATAAAAATAATATATGATAGATTTGTTAAATTTTGAACAAATCATCAATTTTCGTAACCACCGATGCTTTCCAATCATTAAATCTTTGTCATCTTCCATTGGTAAAATTTACTTAAAATCGTAATAAAAAGAAAGCAGTTTACCAATTATTAAAAATATCAATATTTTCTATTTTGATGAATTCTCAAACAAAAGAGATCTAAAAAAAATATTTTAATTATTTATTAAATCCGATGATTAAAATTTAATTTTAATAAATTGAAATATATCATATTACATACAAAGATCGATTTGAAAATTAATATTAAAAAGAAAAGAAAGCATTCGTGTTTCTTTTCTTTTAGCTCGAAGTGACCATGGCCGTAGCTGGATCTCTCGTCGAGTTCCTCTTTGAAAATATCATCTTAAAAAGCCTCGAAGCCAGAGTTTGGAACCGGTTTCGAATCCAGTATGGCAAATCTTTAAAGAAAAAAATAAGAAATAAAAAAAATATAAACGACAAAATTGTCGAAAAAAAGAAAAAAAATATCGTCAATTCGATTCGTTAATCGAAGATAATATTCGATAATATTATGAAATATCGAATTGATGATAGGCATTCTTCTATTGAAAGAAAAAAATAAAATTATTACGTGGAGTATAAATTATACTATTTAAAAAAAAAAGAAAGTGAAGAGAAAAATAAACAGAGTTAGAGGAGATAAAATAATGAAAAGGTGTGCGAGCTGAAAACTTAGTTTTCATCAAAAAACGTTTTCTTCTTTATCCTCTTCTTCATCTTCAATCTCCAATTCAAGTTGTTCTTCCGCCGTTTATTAGTCGTTTATCTTTGTTCCAGGTTTTTTCCATAGAAGCTTCGTTTGTCATAACCTAGAATAGAACTATAACGAATTTCTTCAATGTTGGATTGCACGAACTGTTCTTATGTTAATCAACTAATAAAGTACACAATGAAACATTAGTAACGTTAAAAAAAAGAAAGAAATTGTAAAATTTCAATATAGATTATAAAATCTATAATATATATTGTAAGAATCAAATCGGTATGTACAAATGATTCTACAGATCAAGGATGTATTATTAGTTCGTCATTTTTAAACTAGAGCGTGCTTTTATAATTCGCTTCAATGACATCTGGCGAGCAAAATCGGATTCAGATTTTTCAATTATTCTCTGTGTGTATATTCATTGCAGGGTAAATTCAGTGTCTTCTAGAATCGAGCTCTGAGAACGAAATGAAAATAGTGAAATCAAGAAAGAAAGATAAGAATGGTTAGATGGAATTTTTCTTGATCTTTATCTTGATCGTTGTTCGTATTTATATCCAGAGTTCAATATTAACTCCCAATACAATATGTGTTTCAATACACGGTGCACGATGGTCAGTACACATGCATATATGCATAAGCGTGTCGTTTCGTTCGGTGTCCATTTTTTAGATGATTGTAATGATGTTCGATGATGATACGTATATTCGAAGCAAGACTGTCGAACAATGTTTCCTGAGTTAATCTAATAATAAGGTACCGATGTTATTTTACTTAGATAGCAAAATAAATCAGTAATTAAACATTTTTAAATGATTAACCTTTTCGTTAATATAAATATTTATTTGTAACAGAAAAATCATTTATAATGTTCTCTTGATATTTACTTATTAACGTTTAACAATAATTTCTGACATTATTAATTTAAGTCAGATTTTTGCAAATTTTTTAATGAATTCTTAATTATCTATAATTATTATTATCGATGGGAATTTAATAATTTAAATTTTGTTGCCAAAGAACATAAACATGTCAAAATAACATCACTAAAAAATAAATAAAAATATAAAAAGTCCATTTGCAACAATAATTTGTATTAAACTCGAGCATATTAAAAAGGTTAATTGTTCATATCGACATAAATGTTGATATTTTTGAAAGAAAAATAAAAATGTTATGCTAACTCAGAAAACATTATTTCTATATCGATCAATCGATCGTTCGATAAATCGTCGATGAATCTTCGATTGAATCTTTGATGGGTTTTCGATGGAATCTTCCAATGTGTGCCAAAGATTCGTGATCCGCGTGAAATCGATAAAGCTCGTCGTTCTCGCTTAGAGAATATTCGCCTTCCGTGGATCCTTTCATGTTCTTCCTCGTCCTCTTTACATAATCGGCGTATTTCCCTCGCGAAATTTGGACTATTTTTTAGATGATTATTTTTCCTAATTACGTGCGTCATTACTGTTATTGACTTTTCAGCGAAGAAAGAGATTCTTGATCGTGTCGTCTTAAAAAAAATAATTAGAAAGATCGACATTAAATCATGTTTTCTTTTCTTCGTTTTAATGTCGAGGACGCGAGAATGATGTGCAATATAGTATCGTGTAGCTAGCTGAAGTTAGCTAGTTCAGCGATCGAAAATTTTTTTCTAGTTTTATCTTCTTTCGATCGCTCAAAATTTGAAATCTTTTTGTAAATATTTATATTCGTGTCGTTGTATATATTTATCGATTTATTCATGTTCTTTAATATCATTCTTTAAATGATTATTTCATTAATTTCATCAATCGGATTAGCATTTGTTTTTTTATTTATAATCTTATTTTTATTACACTTTTAGCCCCTTACATGATCAATCCATGATAGTCATTATCATTTTAAAAAAAAGTAAAAATTATAAGAAAATCAAAAGGAATTATTCCTTAGAAATTACATATATTTATATTTATATTTTTTAAATTTTATTTTATATATCATTATTATATCGCAGGAAACAATTTATTATAATCATTGATAACTTTTGAAATAGAGAAACTGTATATAAATTTGAATAGATATTACATTTGATTTTAATTTAATTTTTTTTATTTTTTTCAATAACCAGGTATAGTAATTTTGAATAAAATTAAAATATGAATTCATTATAAAAAAAAAAAAAAAGAAAAAATCGAAAATATTTTCGCCATTTATTTAAATCATATTGATTATGCAAGAGGTTAATATAATCGATAATACATCGATAATTTGCTCAGAAATTTTGTTCAAAAACAAAATTTTTAATCGAACATTGTCATATTTATTCGAAATATTATACGTTTATATGTTTATATGTTTATTTAATCGCAATTTTATTTTCAAAAAGAAATGTGTGAAAAAAAAAAATATCAACACGTTGAATCGAAATTCATTTACTTTTTATTTTAAAAAATTAATTATTCATTGTAATATTATCTATAACATCGTTATAAATAATGTAATATTATTTATATTTTAATGTTAATAACGGTTGCGATTGTAAAAAGACGATATTCGATCATGCATCGACGTTCTCGACGAAGCAGTTTTCTCTTTTCTCACCGATTATAACCTTACTTGCACTCGCACACGTGTATACACCGAGGCCATGGCCAAGACAAGAAAAAATAGTGACAAAAGAGGAAAGACCGATATTAAGAAAAAAAAATACAACAATAACGTTTACTCCTCTGCTGGATCTTCTCGTTATCCTCTTCGTCTTCGCGATTCCACATGATTCTCTTCGCAACCCGTCGCAACCCCTTGTCCCTTCGCTCTCTATCGTCGAACGTATGATGACAACGTATCGTTAAACGTACGATGACGACGTATCATTGAACGTGCGAAAAGGAAAATAACAGAAAACCGCGAGAAAAATGATGGAATAAAAAGAAAAAGAAGAAAAAGTAAGGTTAGGAACAATATGGCGATGACATCGTCGTTCGCGCGCCTATAGAAGCAACCTCTGCTCAACTGAAATTTAAAAAATCAGGATGCAAAAACGACAGAGGAAATGCAAAGCAGGTTCTGAAGCGAACAATTCAAGAAACACACACACACACGTGAATTACATATAAATATATAATATATATAGTATATATCGAAAAGAACAAGCTGAAGTAAGAAAAAAAAGTTAGCGAGAGAGACGCTGTATGATTGTGTATATCAACAATAAATAATTGCTGTGATTAGAATCGATTATATTAGTAAGTAGTTAAGAACAATTTTTAAGGCACAGAGATCGCAAAGAAGAACAAAAAACGGAGGAAAAAAAGATGGAAGAAGAAGAAAGATGATAAAAATAACGAATGCTTGTATACGATCATCGTAATAATTCAACAATGTTGAGTGAGTATGCGTGTATTCGTGGATGTATATGCGTGAATGCAGAAGAAATATTCTACGTGAGAGGATAAAAATTGGAGAAGATAGTGATCGACGGATAAGCAAACTGTGTGTAAAAAGTGACTCAGACGCGAAGAAAGGATGAAAAAACAAGAAAAAGCTCTAAAGAAGAGGGTAGTACGTTTTATTTATTTATGTTTTTTTTTTTTTCTTATTTTTCAAAGAATGAAATATGTGCGCGCGTGCGTGTAATCCTCCTTACGATGATCCGTGTGTTTCAGGGATAAGATCCAGATTCATGTTTTAAAGAAGAGAAGTAAGAGAGGCGGTTGCCGCGCGCATTTACGTAGAAAAGTTACATGTACACATACTGTACGCATACTGTGATCTTTTCACTCGACTCATTCTTTTCGATGATTACAGTGATCCGATTTATTCCTCGATACTTTTTATATGAAAAGTAAAATATAGTTTTCCTTTTTTTTTTTTCAAAATGAAGATAAAGATATATATAAGAAGAAATAAGATATATTGAATAGACTATCGTATTGTTGGTGGAATTGGAATGATGATATGAAATTAATATGCTATTGTAAAATTTGAGTTGAGTTTTATTTATTTATATTTATAGCTAATATATATAGAAAGCAAATTCTAAATTGCAGTAAAATAGTTATATATATCTAATCCAATCATGAATCTTATAATTAAATTTGGATTATTGTTATTTTAATTTGAACTTTTTTATTTTTATTTAGTGAATATATTTAATTATAAAGAATAAATTTTACGTAATTTGAAAGATACGATCCAGAAATATAGTTTGCTATTATTGTATATGATGCACATCTTTATATAGAAATTTTAAATATCAATAAAAATATAAATGATTTAAATCTTGAAATTAAAGGTGCTTAATATAGAGGTGCATAAGACTTAAATAGCTTTGTATAGAACGTGATTGCATAAATCAATGTCGCTAAATAAGCTTTAATTTACGACTTCATTGTACTAGTTCCACTAACAAAATAGTTTATTTTGAAATTTATGCCAAATTTTCTCAATGAAATCTAGTATAAAAGATTTTTTAAAAATACAAACTTTATTGTATTTAAATATCTCTTTCTTGCTAATTTATATTCATATAATCTTATAAATATTACAAAAGTTTAATAAAATGAATTTCATAAGTTTCATGATTTGACAAGAAACTAGTTAATTAGAGTAATTTAATATATAACGTAAATAATAAATAACGTTGCATTATTTGGATCTTAAGGGTGCATTAAAAAGTATGTCAGAAAAAGTAGTCAAGTTTAATTAAAATTAAAATTTTCTTAGCTAATAAGTAATAAGTACTTTCAAAATATTTTAATATTTGAGATAAAAATATGATATTTAATAATCATGTGTCTTTAGTTAGATAAGTGTTTTTACTTAGAAGGCTGTGAGGAAAAATGTTCATTAAAAATATTATATACATTTCTACAAGTTTAATGTATTATATACAATATATTATTTAATTTTAAATTAAATATAGTATTAATGCGTATGCTCAATGTAAACTAATATCATACATTCAGTGTTATATTCTTGTACAAGTATATATAATATACTTGAATAAGTATAATATTCTTTTGCAGTGTATTTTAAGTCACCCTTAATTGTTCCAATTAACTTAATAATAATACAACGTGAAAAATAATTTAAAGAAAACAATAAATAATTATTAATTCGTTATTTTGTACAGAGAAATTATTACAAATTATTTTCGAAGGATAAGAAAAAACAAATTTGTTTTTCAAATAATCACAGTAATCATAAATATCACAAAAAATGATGAGTTGAGTGAAAAGTCCATTGTAACGAAAGCAAGAGCTGTTTGTGTTCTAAACTGTCCTAGTGATTTTGGATAGTTAATACTTCGCGCGAAGAACGATGGTTAATGCGATATCTCGTCATTTCTTTTTAATCTCGTTGTATATTCTTAAATGAACGAGGTATCGTCACTGTCCATTGTGTTTCAATCAAACCAAATACTTAAAAAAGAAAAAAAAAAAACGAAGAAAAATTCACTTTATCAAACTTCGTTGATGGTTTTTCTCATTCATTCATCTGATTAACATAAAATCATTTTTATGCCCGTGATTTCCATTATATGATTAAGGAACCATCATCGAGGCTGATGTACACCAGAAGCATATCCGGTGACACATATGACTAGGTTACGAAATAATTAATCTCTCTTCTGCTCCAATAATAAGCAAGCTCCGTATATTTATTCTGCGTGTATTATCTCGTGAAATGGAAAATCTGTAGACTAATCGTAACTAATTATTCGGGGCGTCTCTAGCTTGTAGTATATATTTTCGAATCAGCCGATTCTTTCGTAGTATCTAGTAATTGCTATAGCTCGTTTGCCATAATTCTTAGTTCTTTTGATCAACAGTGAAAAGGAGCCACATTTCTAAAGGGATCAGAATGAATAAAAATAGGAGTTCCATTAGCTCCTTAAAGGCCAAATTATTTTACAAAATTCGATAAAGAATTACACAATTTTATCTTTAAGTTTTAAATTCAAAATAAAAGGAAGAAACTTAACTCATATGATTATACTCAATTTTGTATAAATTTAAAATGGAAAATCCAATTAATTTGAGATAATTGGAAAAAAAAATGAAATGATTCAAATATGGTCTTTAAGGAGTTAGTCAACAGGATAATGAATATATACAATGTATCCAGAGACGTTCAAAATGGTGTCAAGTGTTTCGTTTAATCCTTTTCACATTACTGTTATTATCTATGATCATTTGTGTAAAGATGATTGCTGAAATTGAAAAATAAATCAGGATAAAGAATGCAAAAAGAAAAAGAAAACTTTATGAATCATGGCACTTGAAGTCTGTACTCTTAGAATTTTAAATTGCTTTAAGATTTATGGATTGAATTATGATAGAATTCACAAGTTTTGATTTGATCACAATAATTCTGATTCTTATATAGAATTGAATATTCGACTTTGTTCATAAAATCTCTGAAAAATTATGCAATACCTCCAATCAATATCCTCAATATCAAATATATTTTATGTAAGTTAGATTTATAAAAGTAGAGTGACATAGGTTAGATAATTGAACTGAAACCCTGTCCATAAATTTTAAATAATCTAAAACTTTGAATGAAAATTAAAAAATGCTATCAAAAAATTTTATTTAATTTTTATTTAATTGTTGATTTTATAATAATTTGTATAAATATGTTTTCTGAAACAGAAAAATAAATCAGGATAAAGAATGTAAAGAGCAGAAAGAAAAAATTGAGAAAGCAAGAAAAATATAAACATTTGGAATAACTTATACCTTATAGAATCTCAAGCTCCTTGAAAGTTTGTAGATTATATACTTTACGAGTTTTGATTTCTGATCAGGAAATTGTTTAATATTTTTATTCTCGAATGTTCAAAATGATTCGTAGAATCCTTCGTAGAGAAGTTATGAAATATCTTTAGCTAACGCCAACTATACTTCATGTATAGTTAGATTCTACAAATGAAATGGTATAGGTTAAGTTACCAAGGTTGATCGAAATTCGTAAATTTTTCAATATTATCCTGAAAATTGGATTATTTCAACGTTCTCGTT